AAAACTATCTTTTTGAAGACACAGGTTTAAGTAAAACTCAAATGGTCTTCCAGACTAGCAGGTATACCACATATGTCGCAAAAATATGACACCTTGTCCTTATTCTGCTTTCAGGCATGCAAAAGAACTAAATGAGCTGCAAAGAAAGCAATATGAGGATGGTATTAACACTGAGAATAAGGAAGTAAAACCAGCATCGCCCCACATTTAAAAAAAGAAGGTGGAATCAAACCTTAACTGCATCAGAAATTCAAATAATCAATAATTAATTTATAATCATATTGTTTTTGGTTTTGTTAGGTTTTGGCTTTTGGGATTTTTTAGTTTGGGGGGTTTTTTTAAGCCTGAGATTTAAGTTTGTGCACAGTTTGAAACAAGAAGATTTCCATAAATATTACTTAGTAACTTTTTGAGCTATAATATATTTTGGTATCTTTAATTAAGCATTTTTCCTTTTTCCAGTATTATGTTTCCATGAATGACATGATTCACCAATATTAAGAGTAATAATACCCTAGTTGACAGAGTTCTTCTCATGTAATTTATATTTGCTGCTTCTGCTCCCAAACACACCTGAGGTTTTCTGATTACATGTCATCCTCAATTTTGCCAAGCACCTAAGTGTAGTCAAAGCCCTGCTACCTTTTAGTTCTGTAGGAACACTTCTAAACTCCTTTTTCCTTAATGCTATCATTTCAAGATAATATGAGAGGGAAGAGAAAACTGCCTGAACCATTTGTCATTTTCCAGTTCTGTCCGACATGCAAGCATCTCAAAATCTAATCTGTAATAGGGGATGACATATGCAGCAAAAGCAGGTATACACTTCCAAGGTGTATGACACTCTTTAGGCATATACCAAGTCTCGGCTGATTCTTTCATTCCTGCCTTTCAGGGAAGAGATTTACGTATTCCCAAATCCGTATCTCCACGCTAGGTATATAAGAAAAAAGTGCAGATCCACTAATTATTCTATCCATCCATTATTTCCTTTGTTATCAGTAGCATCAGCAGTTGCACGGACTAAAAATTACTTTTACTAAAAATTACATTTACTCAGCGTACTATTTTGCAGCATCTTTAACACTTCACAATTGGAAATATGCTAAAATCTCTGCTTTCAAACACAACAAAGAATGAAATGACATCTTAAAAAGTTGAGCAGATGTCCAGATGCAAGTTAAACTATTTTCATAGGGTCTACATAACACCAATCTCTTTTTTCTTACCTAATTATTAAATTTTCTTACCCAATTATTAATCTGATGTATCAGCAAAACTCAAACAGTAGAAATTACAAAAAGCCAAATATACTTGATAACCATTTTAGAACCTCAAACAGCAGCAGACCGCAAAAAGTATTCAGCTTCTCTAGCTGCATAACATTCTCAGTCCTTTTTTTCTTAACTATTTTAGCCATGTTCTACCATAGATGGGAAAAAATAGTACAGTCTTTTTTTCTAACAAGAGACCTTTACTACAACGTATATAAACTTACATTTGAAGATATTAGACATACTGCATAAATAAACTTCTAGGGAAGAAGAGATTGTCTTAAGAATTCTCTACATCATATCAGACACACTTGCCTTTGGAATAAAGCATGAGGTGTGTACCACACCTGCCCAGAACAACCACTGGATACAGAACAGATACATGGAAAAAGGCTTATGAGGACAAGCTCTGACATGAATAGCTCAGTTCTCAGCACTTTAAGCTTTTTGATCATCTAGCTGAACCCAGCTATAGGAAAACAACCCAGTAAACCTATGTGCTTTCCATTTCTGGGCCTCTGTCCTTGAAAGTTACCATAAAGGAAGATCTGCTATCATGAGAGAAGCTCAACATTTGAAAAATAATCCATCTTCCACAGTATCTAAAATCTTCCATTTTGAAATCTTAGTATCTTACAATTCTGTCTGTTCTGCAGTAGGAATCCAATTGGGGATCAGAAAATTTATATTTCATAATAAGTTAAGGTTCAATTACAGTATTCTTATAAATTGTATTTATGAAGCATGAAAGATTCCTATTATACATAAAACTCAAGAGCCCATATACAACATCCGTAAAAATAAAGAGAACAAACTGAGTTTATATTAATATGATTTTGTCTAGAATTCAGCATGCTGGTGTCAGCGAAGCACTTAAGTATGTGCTTTATTTTGAGCTCATGACGAAGTACTTAAACAAATTAAAGCAAACTAACTTACTTGAGAGTTTAGTAACATAAAACTCAACTGTGTAGAAAATCAGGTTAACTATACTGTTTTACATGCTTCTTTATTACTTTTCATATTAATACGTGGAAATAATATATATAAAATTATATGATTCATTTGACATTAATTTGCCATATTGTAAGATTAAAGGATTTAACCAATTAGACAACAATATAAAAATATTCAGAGTAATCTCTGTACTTGTCTGTTGTAGTTTATTAGAAACACTGTCCAACAGACAACCTAATTTTTCCATTTGTAAAGCATGGGGCGCAGACAGCACTTTAGAACTGTGGGTCATAGACTGGTAAGCTTGTTCCAAGAGTACATAGTTACAGACTCTCTAAAACCAGTCAGAATTATAAAGTAAAATATTTTTTTATCCAATATGTATACACAAACCTTCAAGGGGTTGAGCTGACATTCCATCTAATGAAGACATGATGGAATATAAAGTTGAATATTCTTGAATTCACGCATTTGACAAACTATCTGGAACTTAGTTCAAGTCTTAATGAGGAAGTTAAAATAGAAATGTTGAGCTCTTTAGATGCTTCATTTAGAAAAATTAAAAGGAATGTTGTTTTATTCCAACAATATTGAAATAAAATATTACTATAAAAAATAAAGCAGAAATTTGCTTGGATGAATAAGACATTTTTTTCAATTTCTGTTTTCCATCTAATGTTCAAAAGTTAATTGCAAAGTAACCTGGATACAGGTCTTAGATAGTTCTTTATTCCTCCTATCTGCCAACAACAATTAAACTAACAATGAAGCAAACCAAACCTCCTGTATTTCCACACCTCTAATCATAACTAAAATTCACAATCTCTAATTTGATTGTTTTAAATGGGAGATACTCTTTGCAATTAACAGTGGTTTTGCCTAAGAAACAAAACACAATTAGGATACTTGTCAGCTAATGAAGTTTCATTATATGAAGTATTATCATTCTCCAAACTCTAATTTAAGTATTTATGAAGAGTTTTTTTTAAAGCTGGTGTTTTGTTTATTTGAAACTGATACTGTATTATTAGATTTGATTATAAAACAAGTAAAAATTCTTTAATCCTTTTTAGAATAGTACCTACCAGAAGTCTTGCTACACAAATTAGGAAACATTTGTAAGCAGGTCCATAAATCAGGCCCTCAGAATTAGAGTTCTATTGTGATATATTTCCAGAATATTATCACATATAGAATATATGAGAGTTTGCAAATGAACACAATACATCGATTTGGACTAAATGCAAGAATGCATGAACTTTAAAAACACTGACTTCACTACAAGCTAAGAAAACCAGAACTTCAGTTATTTTTCTACATGTACTGCAGCACTTCAAAATCCTACAGTGTCAGCTACAGATTGACAGATGCCCATCTCCTGAGGCTTCAGCAAATATGAAAACAACAAAAATAATTACAGTATGGCAAGGTTAAGCAGTTCCATAGTAACTAACTCAGTAAAGCACAATGCTCAGTATGAGCTTGATATCACTGTGGAGCATTGAAAGGTTTTGTGTTGCCACTGGCAAAACTCTGAAAAGAAAGATGGCTAATTCTGTTAAACATGTGAGATTTAATAATGTTAAAAATGAACAGCTGCTTTAAACTTAAAAAAAACCAAATTATTGTTTTAAATTATACATTTCCATATCCTTACAATTGTTAAAAGTCTGTTGACTTTTGATTGTCATCAATAAATCTTGTATTCTAGCAGTGACCTAAAATAAGACACAGCTCATTGTCTAATTCCTTCAAGAAATGGCATTTTCAGAATATAATTCAAACATACTAGAAATTTGGGTTGGGAATTACATACTCCCTCTCCAACAGTCCAAAATTTCTACTACATCATATCCTAGAAGTAAAAAGTGTAAAGTTAAGACTGCTTGAGCAACACTTAAGCCTTTTGTTAAATTAGACCACTGCAAAATAAATCTATAGTGGATGTTTTTGATATGTATCAATACATTATTTTCCACCAAATAAAAAGTTTTTAGGATAGTGTAAAATCAAGTTGCAATCCCAAGTGAAGTGGAACACTTTGCATAAAATACATACCAATGTATAGAAATACATGAAAAAGCTATGTAAACCCTATTTCATATATCTCTTTTCCAAATGTTGAAGGAACATCCATTCTCTCTCCCTCTCTTTCCTCTATAGTTTACTGGAAAAAAATATTTAAGAATAAATTTTACCAAAAGTTCTATTCTGCTCTTTACCTCCTACTCATTGTAACAAACTAAATACAGTATTATGGACTGGATAACCTTTTCATCATGAAAATTAATAATTTGAAATTATTGAAATAATAATGTGAAACATGAAATCTAATTCTGAAATAAAATACAGCAGCTGATTTTCCAGTTTTAGATGAGCTAGAGAGAGAATAGCAAAGCTGCATTGTTTGTTCAGCTGAATACTAAAGTTGTATTGCCCGCATAGTCAACAATTTATACATTGCACTAAGTCTTCTAACTCATAACTTCAAGTATTTTGAAAATTATATACTATGATCTAAGAACTCATACAGTCTATTTATTATCCAGTCTGTTAATAATTTTACCTTTCCATATGGAATTTTCTCATACTTTATGCCTATCTTTTTGAATTTGCTGTTTAAGGTACCTCCTAGCATTTTCTGGGTTCTTAAATCTTAATATTCTATAGAATGATGCTTTTTTTACATTTTAAGAAACAAATAAATACAGCTAAAACACTCCACAACACCACTCTTTAGCCTTTTAGGAAAAGAAAAGGTGACAGTACCTGGTGAGCTTGCAACAACTGCTCAGCAAACTGACGGACTTCCGATAGGAGAAGCGATATTAAAGAATTTCTTAGTATGTTATTCCTTCCTAGCAAACCCAGAGTTTGTGATACAGAATGCAGTGCCTGAAACTAAAGAGAAATAACAGTAAATTGAATCTTTCAAAATGCATCTCAATCATTTTTTATCCCAAAATATCAAGTAGAAAAGGGATTTACATTTTAAAATGTTAAAGAGAAAAGTCCCATTTGAAATTTTAGAGTTTAAAATTCTATCAATAATTGACGTATTGACATATGGGATCTATGAGAAATCAACATCCATCCTCACAAGATTAACATTACAGGAAACTGTCATGTGAACAAACAGCTCCAAAAGTGTGAACTCCTCAGGACACCACTTTCCAGCATCAGATGTCATCATACCCATCTCCTCACATAGCAAATTGGTGACTACCCTGCACATACAGTTCTTCTGCTTTTCACAGCTAGACAAATAAATGAACAAATTCTTTGAAATTCAAACACATGAGCTGAGAGCTGTACCAGGGTGTTCTGTCAATATAGTTATTGGGAAAAAACTTGATTAAATGCTAACTGCTAGAAGACACACTATGTATCTGTATCTATTTTCAAATCCAAACAATTCACTTTCACATTGTTCTTTAACTATGCATTACTCCTGAACCACAAGAGAAGTGATGTAGACCTATATGAGAATTATATTAGTAATTTTTTGCCACAGTTTCTTCTACTAAAAAAAATAAACTGCTTTCTTTGTTCCCTGAAATTGAAATTGAAATAAATAGCTATATAATGAAGCATTCTGCTCTACAAGGTACACAAAATTTTTCTATATGTAAATATACTGGAATTATTTCAAAGGAAAAATAAGTAAGACACATACTGTAACTTGTATTTTTTATATAAATACATATCCCCCACAACATTAATATTCAGTAACTCTTTGCAAATGAGTATTTTTGACTGGAAAAAAGGATACTCTTAACACAAATTTGTATGATTTGAATAAGTATGATGTCTTAACCACTCAAAGCAGATCACAGCATCCTATTAACAATCTAGATTACAGCTCCAGCCAACTCACATGTGTATAAATAAGCACATATATATGTATATACACACACATATGCATATATATATATTATATACATATATAAAAATAAATTATATACATAATATTATATATTATATATATACACATATATATAAATAAAAACACTTGCCCACCATTTACAAATTTGCATTAGATGAGTCCTGTTGGAAAACTTTTCCAAGCACATGAAAGGCAGAAAGGTATTCCAGGAGCAGTCATCACGATTTTATTTAGGGGAAACATTTACCTAGACTTTAACATGGTTTTCAACACTGTCTCTTGTAAAATTGTCACTGACCAAATTTTGGGCTATGTAAGTAGAAAGCAAGGTTAACTGAAATATTTTGCTGTAAAAACAATTAATTAGGTAGCTTTTACAGTTCTTGCTTGACTGCCTGATCAGCAGTTGATGCAAAGCCTATTTACCAGCCTCTTCCTGCTGAAGAAGTGCCCAACGTGAGACTCCTATGGACAGTCAGAACAATCCAACTTTGATAAAACTTTGCTGTCAACCATCTCAATTCTGCAAGAAGTGCTGCACTTCTGCTACTTCCAAAACAAGTAGCAAAAGAAATCTAGAAAAGACACACAAGTCTCAAGTTCAGAATCAAATCTGCATGCAGACAGAGATACAAAGTAAACTCCGCCTATTAAAAAGAATTCATAAATTGTACACATACAGCTTTGAGAAGCCTGTGTAATTAAAATCATTCATCAACATATACACCAAAGAGTCTATAAATATGAAATATGAGTGAAGATGTGATAAAAATAGGTTTCTGAACAATTAAAATGATATGAAGGGGTAATGTAATGCATGCATCTATCTGTGCTTTGAGGATATATGAATTTAAACGAGTCTTTCATATACAGGAAATATATGCCCTTCCAAACAAAACAATGACTCCTCTTTCTAAAAATAAAGTAGAAATTACAATTTTGAAAGTGTCTTCCACAGTATCTACTAGAAACAAGTTTTCAGCACCTGGATAGTTGTGCCTTGACAACACCCATGTTTCCAAGGGTACAACTGCTTCAACTCAAGGTTTAAAAAATGCTTAAAAAATAGCATGTTTTTCAGTAAAGCTGACATTCAATTTTATTTATTTTAATAAATTAAGAAGGGATACAAATTTTAAAGTTCTACATTTTCAGAGCATAACATTGAGAATACTTGCTAATTTGTCTTTGGCAAGCAAGTAATCTAGGCAATCCAGAGTAGTTTTTTAAGGTAACCTTTCCCAAAGATCACAGTAAAACATGAATATTTTGTTCTTGTTTGAGCTCTTTTTGCTTACATAACTTTTGACAGATAATGAAGCAATGAAGTATTTTTGTGCAATTATTAATGCTAGCAGCTGAGATTTAACTAAAATAAGATCTTCCCAAAATTTCCGTATCCTTTACGGTTTGGCAAGAGTTATCCAGTCATTTTCTATTTGGAATTTTTGAGGATGAGATAACAGGGAATCTTGAAATTTTCAGCCTCAGCCTCTACTAAGAGAAGTAAATTGGTATTTTGTTATTTTGTAATGATGACACTTAGGGTACTTGAGATACAGGTATCAATGGCACCAAAAAATCCCACTGGTGAATTCATTATTATTTAATAAATATTCTTATTAAATGTATCCTTATAATAAAAATATTTCACAGTAACATATTACAGAAAATATATTTAATAAATATTAATACTGATTTTTGAAATCCTGCTGATTTATTAAAGAGCATTGGTTTTACATAGTATCTTGATGGATCCCTTACATTCCTATAAGAATATTTTAAGAAAATAAGAGACAACAAAGAAGGTTCAAATAATGTTCATAGACTGCATGCAGAACAAATTTATAGTATATAAGCAATAAATCTGCAAACAGCAAACAAAAATAAGACTTTGTTGTACAGCAATGCTCATGTATTACTAATTATACTCTGGAAACATTCAAACTAAAAAAAAAAATCTAATAATATGTTGTTTCATTAAAGATAAAAGCATATGTTCAGCTCTCAAATCTATCCAATGTTAAAAAAACAGAAGTATTTTAATCCCTTGGGCTTGTTTAATTTTGTAGATGAAATAAAATCAATGCATTTCAGGAATCCTCAGGTAAAAGCAGTCAGAAAATTAGATTATAAAAAATATACCATCAGAAACAGGAAATGATGGAGCCTAGTACACTGTTCAGGGCCTGCATCACCTCTCCTTCCCCTTCCTCCCACACCCCAGGTTCTACTGTCTTCCCATGTTATTCAGTATGCAGAGCAAGAGGAGGTAATGCTGTGACACCAATTGGGAAGGAAGTGTGGATTGTTGACCTGGCTGTTGCCAAAATGAATATATAATGTCAATGTTTGGCTTATCTCAGGAATACTAACTTGGTTTCTCCTTCACCCAGCTACAGATTTTAAAGCCTACTTGAAGGCATTATTGACCTTTCACTTCTTTCCTAGTGACTTTCCTAGTTATCAGCATGTTAGATTTTATTTAATAGTGGATGTCTAAAATTTTTGAGTTTAATTCCTTCAGGAGTTGCATGATTCACTATACCAGGCATCTATGATAACTGCACCTTACTTTCTGTTTTGCTAATTTACAGTTTTTGCCCCAAGTAACAGCTTTCTTTCCCAATAAAACATATGACATATTTGGCAACACAGGACAGGCAAATAATTATTCCAGGTACCCTCAAATTGAGAGCTGTTATAAACAAAACTATTTTCACCTTTGATTTCACATTACCCTTTCCCATTTAGTCCTACCTGACTTTGATTCCTAATCATCAATGCCAATTGAAAAGCTCACTTTTATACACAGAACATTAGCACCCCTTTTCTTATCTCCACATTGCTTCCTTTATTAATTGATGGCTCTCCCTGTTTACATGGCAATATTTATTCTATCTATTAGTCTCAAGAATTGATACATTTTATTTCAACTCTTTGCTGACAATTCAGCTGAGGTGCCTTTACACATAGGCATAGGCAAAAACTGGAGGAGCTGGAAGCCACAGTGCTGCTAGAAAGCTACAACCTTGCTGTTACTGAAGCTCAGTGGGACAAACCCCATGACTGGAGCATGATTATTGAAGGCTAAAGAGTGCTCAGAGTAGACAGGGGAGGAAGAAGTGGAAGGGTCACCCTCTGCATCACAAGTGGGATCGAGTGCAGAAAGTTGTCTTGGAAGAACATTCACGAGCAGCTTGAGAGCCTGTGGGCAGGAGACTGAGGCAACAAAGGGAACCTTGTGACTGGGGCCTACTACAGGCCCCTGGTCAAGGGCAGCCTGTTGACAAAGTCCTTTTACAGAAGGCATTGAGCTGACAGACTCTTCTGATGGGGAGCTTCAGCCCACTACCTGCTGGACAAACTAACTTTGTCCTGTAGTTCTTCCATAATTGTAGCTTTAGTGTATGCTCTGCATCAGCTGAGGCTGTCTGAGAGGGGAAGATGGACAGCATTTTGTTTCATTCATTCTTTTCTAGTTACTTCTATGATCCACTTTACTGAAGTAAATGAGGGTCAGTCAGTTTGGTGATTGCTTTACACAGTAGTAATTTTCAAGACAATGGATTTCGATTACCATTTGACTTAAGTCTCTATATAAGGACAACAGATTGCTGAGAAAAATTAATTCAATAATCAAGAGATTCAAACATTGACTCTTACTAGACCTCAAAATCCAGGCAACATGTTTTAATATTCATACAAATGAAGTGCTCTTCCCCTGTAAAAGCAAAATCTTTTGCCTGATGAAAATGCACCCATAGTATTCCCCTTGGGACTCAATTAATTACAAAAATTGAAGCCTGCTCGTTTTACACTTGAAAACCACCAGTGACATGAATAACTACTTTTAAATCTTATTTGTCCCTAAGCAGGAAAGACTCTTGTAAAGCAATGAGTTAAGTCCTGTCTTGGCTATGGCTGACAAAAGATACTGCAAACTCATACACAGCTGGGGAAACTTACTGTCACCCACAACTACCTGCAGCAGGTATTAAATGCATACTGTTGCATGTATTCAAGGACCAGAGTAAATTTATGATTACTTTCTTCCAGGAAAATTCAGTCATTAATGAATCATACAAATTGTATCCTAGATAAGAAAAGATTCAAATACATGGCTCTGATGAATGTGTGCTTTTTTAACTGCATAAGTATACATACACATTACATTATACAATTGCTACTGAGATTTAAACATTTCTCTTTCTGCTTTTCAATGTATTACTTTTCAACTTGTTATTTTCATGAAGAATTGTGAATTCTTTCGCACATAAATACTCAGTAAAGGCATTAAACTACTACTCAGAAATCCTGCATTTGCTTTCCTGTTAAATGTTATCAATAGTAGTATTTTGAGCACTGGCAAATTTTTACATAAAGGCTTTTAAATGAAACATGAGTGAAAAATTAAAATGGGAGTAAAGTCCCAAACAGGATAAGAGAAGTTCCTAAAACTATGTTGATGTCTCAGTGTCCCTCCAGATACTGTTAATGCTAGTAACTTCAAAACAACTACTCTAAAGGCAGCAAATTTCTGAATAATATTTTAAAAAAGGAGGGAAATATAACATAACCTTTTTTTGTGTGTGTGTTGTTTGACTGGAACAGCAATTCTTGACTTAACAGCATCTTCAAAGTCAGTATTGATGTTTTAAACATAGCATGAGAAGAAGCAAACAACAACACACCACTCACTGAAACACATCTCTCTTCCTTCCAGGTCTTGAAGAGACCACTGTTGAAAGAGAGCATGAGCGGTTCTGAATTACACTATCAACTGCACCTAAAAGAAGTAAAACCAGTGAACTGAATTGCCTACAGTGCTGACAAATGGTGTGACACCACTAAGGATCACACCACAGAAATCCCACGTAATGCAGTGCCCTGTGACATACTTGGCCATGACAGCTTTGAACACAACTGAACTTCACTGAAAGAGGCTAAAGATAAACTTATTTTTCTTCTATCTCCAAAGTAATAAATTAGACTCTAGATTCCCTCACAATAACTGTTTTAAAGTTTCACACAGCTGTATAGGCAAGAGATGTAAATATGGAAAATATAAAGTGTCTTAATTTCTGTTAGACAGATTTGACTTTTAAAGCTAATTCTATACATTATGAACTTACAGCCAGCCTAGATTCACCACAGGAGACTTCCAGGATGTCATCTCTGAAGTGCTCTACTTCCATGAGCTGTCCAAAACCTTCACCAGAAACACATACGCTACCCAGAACAGCACAGGGAGTTGGGAATCCTGGGTTGTCCCTCCAGCTGTTGTATTTTTTTGAAATAGGAGAAATGATCCCCTATTTGAACACATTCTGGACAACAAATACAAATGTCAACAGAACAGGCACATTTCAGTGCCAGTGAGTGACTGATTCAACTATGAGCAGGAGAAACATTTGCTGTGCCTCTGTGGAGGTGGGTGAAGACAGATGTTGTCAAATCCTAAACAGGTAGATTAAGCAAAAAAACAATGTTCCAGTGCTTCCTTTCTGGAGTTTCTACTCCACTGGGGCTGTAATTACATACCATAGCTCCTACCAGAGTTTTCCATGCAAAATGTTTTCCCATGTTTTGTCAGGTAGAGTCCATTTGAAAGCCAGAGCCAGTGGCTCTGCCAACTGAATACAATCTCACAGAGTTTTATAGTACACTTGTGTCTGCTTGAAAGCAGGACTTGCAAGGAGCCTACATAAATACAAGAGTGGCTCTGCTGACACAGCAGAGCGTGTCAGTGGAGTGACTCAACACAAATGAACAACTTGCAACTGAAAGGCAATACACAGCCTGCAAACCCCCAAAGGTCTCAGCGCTGAGGACTCAAAAACTGGTGATGAACGAAGTGCTTGCTCCACAGATCAGCAGTGACTGTCACGCGTTTTGCTGTATGGAAGCAACCGCTCATGTGTACCAGAGTTAGACACAGGATCCTCACACGCTTTTCTGTGGCAGCCACACAGGGATGCAAAACCATGCCAGCAGAAGGTGCAAAGTCACGCCTTGCACAGATGGTTGAACCTCTGAACATTCATGCTTCACCCTGAGCAGCTGCGACTTGAGGTTCCTTTTTTGAATTATTTCTAGAAGGTTTATTCCAAAATACTGTGTGTCTAACAACTGTGTGCATATTTCTGAGCTGCTCTCCAAACATGGAGGGAAAGGAGAAAATTTAAAAAAGGAAAATTCAAGAGGCCATTTTTAGTTTTTTTGATATAAATAATAGAATATTTTACATAAAATTACCTTTGATTTTCTGTCACATACCTTAATTGACAGACTTTTTTTTTTTTTTTTTTTCTTTTTGAAACCTATGTCAATTTGGAGTTTCAGGTCAGACTCTAACCAACACCCACAGCTTTAGGCAGCTGAATCCAGGAAAAAATTCTGAATAGACGTCTTTGCTGGTTTTACAGCTTCCAATGCTTTATAATTAGAAACATTTTAAACAATAGGACCGTACAGTTACAGCAAGTAATTCTGCTGATGTTTTTCTTACTTTACATCTAAGGTAGAGATAATGATTCCTTTTCCAATTAGCAAAGATTATTTAAAGGTATTTAATATGCTCTGAAAAATGCTGAGATTGCTTTTAAAGATGTAATTAATTAATTAATTAATTACACAGCTACTTTTCTCTGTGAGCTTTTTGAAGGTGTTTCTCACAGCCCTTTGTCCTCCTTGAAAATTCCTGACAGTTTTAATGATGAGGATGGTAAATGGAAAGCTGTGTCAAATACTACATCGCTGCATAGCTGTCTGTACAAACGCTTTTTGTCAGTGAGGTTAGATACAACAAAATTCTTAATATTTTTAAGCTGGGGGGATTTAAGCATTTTCCTGGAACTGAAATTCATACAGCCTGTGACTCTTTCCAGAAGCTAGCCTTGTAAGTAATGGCAATTTTTTTAAAAAACCTTTAATCTTGGTATTTTAATCACTACCTGTACATAGTGTTCCTGGGAGTTATCTGGTGCACAGAGTGTGAAGAATTAGTTCTACAATTTACACTACTATTTCTGAATGCTACACATTTGTTTCCATTTTCAATTCAGTTTAAAGAACACCAAACCTCTAATCTGGAAGATTAGATCTAATCTGGAAGATCTAATCTCCAAGATTACCCCTTAATAATTGGTCTGCACAATTTTTAAACTCTTTTAATGTGTTTGACTGAAATAATGGCTGCCAGTAGTAATGACTCTTTATTATGTCAATATTTTTGTGGAAGCAAGATACAACACATCTCATAAAAAGCCATCTGTTTTAGTGAAGTCATTCAGAGAAAATATGTCACTTTCAAATTACGTGGATGTACTCCACCTCTCCTGAATGATTCATAAAAATACTTTTCAGACCTGAAACATCCCTGATCTATCAGAGTATTTTCTCCCATTTAAGATGTGACACCTCTCAATTAAACTTTGCCAGATTCCTCCAATCAACAGAAAGTCCATCTCTGGATTGCTCTTCCACACTTAACCTTATTTCAATTATTTATTGAGTTCTCATTCAGTAAGGGGATAGGAAACGGTGGAAACACTGTACATCATCAGTTATAAAGAAGTCCTTAATGAAGGACTGTTAAAATTTTTTTTTTGTATCCAGTGATCCCCCCCCACACACAAAAAAGGAGTCACGCCTGTATAACTCCATTCCTGACACCACACAAATGGAATGTATGGTCACATCCTTTCAAAACACTGACCAAGGACACCTCTAATTAAAAATTAAGTCTTGCACCATGCTGACACTAAAGTGGAAATATTTCTGGTATTAGAAACACAGGATTCTAGTCCTGGAAAGATTTCAGCCTGAATGCTTCCTAATCAAAATATAGGTACATACTTTTTACTTAATGCCCTCTTAATTTGTTAATAGTATTTGCTTGATGTCCATGTTCTGGGGTAAACACTCAATACACAGTGAGCTGGATTCATTTTAAATTAAGGCAAACGGGTACATCCATGCACAGGCATACCAGATGTCCAGGCTCTAGTTTTGGGAGAGGCAACTTTAGAGTTTATCCTAAAATAGGGACCTAGTACCCAGTAAGCATTTTTCAGGCTCCAAGGATTACGGGGATAAGATCTTAATTTGCTGTAATGGTAGCGTAGTTACCTACATGAGGACACTAAATTGGTACATCTAAGTCTCAAAAAATACCATCATGGTGGCTGTTCCAAGTTACTCTAAAAGTCAGAATGAAAATCAAAAATTCTAAGACAGGCAATGAAATTCATTACCTGTAAGGTATCTTGTGAAAACAGACCAAGGATATTTCAGATGAACGAGGCAATTAACAAAATTATACATGGAACAAAACACACTGATGAATACAAACAAAATTAAATTCAGTCCTATTTGTTGTTTGTGATGGGGACATTATTTTTGAACACTCCACTCATTTGCTTATATATTTCTAAAACACAAATTTGCAAGTAGCTAGAGGATGATGGATATCTGAAGCAAACAAATTATTTTATTTAGTTGCTCAAGAAAGAATAAGAATTCATCACGTCTGAATGAATATCTACAGTATATCTCCATATAGCAAGAGAAACAATATGTTTTTCCCTCATATTTTCTATGAAGCTGCTTTAAACTGCATTTTTATCAGTTGCTTTAAACTGCATTTTTATCAGTTATTTAAAAATCCTGTTCTTGGATGTAGGTTAGAACCTCTTGCATGCATGAGCAAGAATTTTCCAGGTGCTTCAGAGCATTTATTATCCATATTTCAGAAAAGAACAATCACAAAAATCTCTGAGTAGTACTCTTCAAAATATAAGATAAACTGGTATTTTAAAAATGCATAAAACCAGAAGAATATTACAGTATATGGAAGTTGGATATGAAAGAAGGAAAATGTTTTAAACTTACCCTATTGACACTCCTATTTCTTAAAATAATTTTAATTAGATTTTTCTTAAATTCTTCCATCTTCTTGAAACACTTCTTCAAAACATGATTAGATAATTTAGTATCAGTTATCAAACTGATCAGAACACAAACTCCTTCAGAAAGGAAACCTGGAGCTGGGAACTTGGGACTGTTGTAAAAAACAGTCAGTCCATCAAGCAACTGAGACACTGAATTGCATATGGTAAAAGAATCATTCTCAAGCTGTGAAAAGTCTGCTTGAAGACTTCCTCCTTCTGACAGTTTTCTTATTTCAAGCAAGCATTGCAAAAAATGCACTGGAGCAGTCAGAGATTGCTCCTTGCTAGTATGGAAAAGATGCAGTGGGGGAACTCTTTCCAACCAATGTTTGCTGACATTATGCTCAGATTGGTGAAAATCTGAAGCTATGCCTAAAGAATCAAATGCAGAGTCATTACAGACATCACATCCAGAGTCTTCTAGCTGGCTTGAGTAACTTGTAGGGTTTATATGTTCCTGACCCAGAAGAGTTTCAGCAGAGGTATCCTGTTTTCCTGAAATGCAAACATGAAAATTATATTTGTGTGATGCTTAAATACATGCTTATTTAAAGTGCCACATGTACTTTCTCCTTTTTGCTTCCATGCAAAAATCATGTAATACCTGTGTATGTTTGCTCCCCAAGATCTTCCCATGACTAGAATTTAGCTGTGGAAGAAGGTCTTTTTAAATTAAAGCCAAAATTTTCACAGGTTAATGTCTATTTGTGAACAAGATGTTTTACACTCACAGTAATATGAATAGTAATTTTAAACTGTCAGAAATCTTAAGTTTTCATATATATAATTTAAGTAAACATAAACCAAACAATTTAAGTGAACATCTATATTCCCATTAATTTCCAGGGAAGAAAATGCATGTAAATTTCTGGTCCTCCAAACATTTTCGCTGCTTTTATTCTCAAAAAGTCAGACTGCTTTTAAAAGGCAGTGAAAATCTGTTACTGTAACTGCATCAAATAAAATATTCTTCTTTATGTGTACTCTCTCTCCCCAGTCAGGAAAGAAATTCTAACAACAGTCAAAGTTGAACAGAACATTAGGTTTGATTTTTTCATTATTTAACAAAGAGGAACATTCAGAATCAAAAGCTTCTTCAGTCATCACCTATCTCATACCATCTCCTTCAAAGACACACAAACTACATTACAAGAGGTATACAATACATTCACACCAATAAGTTACTTCTGTGTGCTACTGTAAAATCTCTTTCATCCCATTTCACACATTAAATACATTGAAGACAATGCATCTTGACATAAACTCAGCTCTAGGTGACAGAAGACACCTGTTCTACATGCTACCTATGCCAAAAGATCACTGTCAAAACAAGGCAGAGAAGTGAAGACCAACACACATAAACATCTTAGTGCCACGAGGCAAGGCTAGAACCCCATCTGACCAACTCCTGGCTCAGCCCTGCTTACTGGGGCAGAGTCACAAACTTCTCCCCCTCTCACTATTGGAAAACGTGCCTATACTGTCATTTTCCACAAGAATCCAATCCAGTACTATACTCCTCTGCCTTTGTATTCTCAAATTAAAATTAATTATAGAAGGTTTGGCCTCACAGGAAATAAATGTTATATTTCATAGCAAGTTAAAAAAGCATTTTTAACACAGAAAACATCCCTAAGCAGCAACCCACAGTAGTCTGTATGTTAATAAAACACTACTCAAAAATTTTATTACAGACTTCATTAAATTCACCATTTCAATTTAATTCTGACCATTAATTCGGTCTCTGAAAAAATCCCAGTACCAATGAAAGTACTGAGAACAAAACTGGAAATGTGGTTTATACTATTCAGTGTTGATTTTCACGTCTTTAATATTCAGACATATTTGAAATTGCACAGTATTGGAACCAGCTGACTCAAAATTAAAGGGCTCACTGTAGGGAAATCAATTGCCATTTCAAGGAGGTAGGAAAAGCTGGACATTTAAGGCCAGCCTAGCATTTTATAGATTAACACTGTTTCCAAATGCCCTGCATACCCAAACTGGGAAAGCAAGCAAAGAAGCAAAGGTCTGACTAACAAGAACAGACATCCATCTCTCATGTCTTCTCTCCCTAGGGTTTTGAGCAAAACACATTTCAGAAGGAAAAAATGGAAAGTTGTTTTTGATGCCATTTAAGGAAAATAAGCCTTTCAAGAGAATCCATCTTCTGTGAGTTCCACTATGTGGTTGTTTTGCTCCTGTTCTTAATCCCATGGAACAACATGAAAATTGCTCATGAGGATTTAATGAAAAAAATAGAAGTGAAAGGTGAAGAAAAGCGAAAGGGAAGACTAGTACAGTAATATCCACAGAAACCAAGCATAAGATGTTTTCCCAGATAAAAGAGGTAGGGTATTCAATTAGGCATTCCTTTCACTAGGAGATAATGCTGCATTTATGGTTAGGTTCCTATCCACTGCAATATCAAACTCCTGTTCCATAATGAGCTTCCAGAAAACCCTTTTACAGTAAGTCCCCAATATCAATATACCCCCTCCCCCCCCCAATATTTCCAGCTAAATGAGTAACATAAAATGCTTAAAATTGTTAAGCCATTTACATGTTCCAGTCATTTGGAAAGGAGGTGGCAGTTCTGTTGTAAAAAAAAAAACCAAAAAACCACCAGGAAATAGTTGTTATTTCCCTCAAAATATCTAGAAATAGCTTGTAATTTCTTTCTTGAAAGAAGCTAAACTCATCACTTTGTACTTTACCTACTACTGAAATGAGAAAGCAGTCTTGATGTTCACACCATGTGGGTATCAAGAAAATAAATAAATAAAAGGAATGGCATTAAGCCTGCCTCAGACTACCAAGAATCCTTAAATACTAATTTCAAGAACATTTGACTGTAAGTGTATTGGAACAAGAAATATGCAAATTTAGTGGGTGTGATAAAGTGACCACAAATTTTACAACACCATAAGTAATGAAATATCTGGTCATGAACAATTTTACAGTGACCTTAAATTTGTCACATCAAATTCAGGAAATATTTAAATTCTTAATTCTAATTTAGGACTTTAGCTCCTTACTAAAATCAGAAGCCACTCAAGGGATGAGGGAGTGACTTACATACTGCGCAGCGTGTCAGCAAGGTGTGCAAGCACTAGAACTCAGATGTACAAACTGTACAAAACAGAGGCTTTCATCAGGGCAGTGAGGTGCCAACCAGCCCATGACTAGAGAATAGGGAGTCTTCAGCGAGTCCTAAGGAAGCAGAGCTCTAGAAAACACCAAAGTCAATCTCATCTCCCATATTCATTCTCTCACTACCCAATGTGAAGTACAAGAGGCAGCTTGTATAAGATCTGTGTAGTAGGAGCTGGAGTGGTAGAAGATGCATTCTTAAGGCACTCTGCTGGTGGCTGCCTCAGACCAGAGAACATTTGAATGAGAAAGGCCAAATGCATGTAGTTCTAAACTTAAAAACTGGAAGAAGAGTTCTCAACTGATGAAATTGCTGTGAAATGGTAAAACAATCTTCAAATCTTTCGAAAAACTTAATCTACCTGCAGTTCCACCATCAACAGGGACTGCAGAACAGAAAAGTGACTTGAAGGTGGCAGAGGTGAGAAGCAAGGTGAAGACATGATCTGAACTCTGCAAAGAAAAAATTACTTCAGTTTCAAGCATTAGACATTGTTTATATTCTCTCATTTCATGAGCAGACACATGGATTATCACTTGAAAATCAAAACCACTGACATCAGATATGTAAATCTCTCTTAAAACTCAGTTACAATTGATACTCTCTGTTCCACTTCTAAAGGAAAAAACAAGAGACAAGTGAAAATGAGACATTCATAGAAACCTCTTTAATGATACGGCATTCTGCTTTCCAAGTAGGCATTCAGTCAATAACCTCTAAAAGGAAACGAAAAACTGAAATTATGTTCATGTCTACATTTCTCAGGGCTCTGTTATTCTTCACTTAATTTTCATTGATTGGTTTGATTGAAATGCACTTTCCCTGAACAATAAATCAAGTTTATTTTCTTATTTAAAACCCCATGCAGTTTCTTTGCCTTTCTTTCATATGTAACTCTGTTCTGCTGTTTTCATTACTAACCAAGCTGACTGAAGAAAAAAACAACTCTCCCTCCTTCATGAACTCTTATGTCTTCAGCACCCCATTGTTGAACTGACCTGGAACCAAGGCAAACTTCTATGTTCATTATTCTGTAATAGTAATGCCAAAATATTGTTGAATATTAGAAAATACTAGAATTCTCCAAATAAGAAGTTTTAGAAGCCTTTTATCCCACAATTTGCTTCTGCATCTCCATGGGGTATTTTTTTTGTAACTGGCTTGGAAAAGTCTTTTGTTTAAATGCAAGGTGATTTTTTATGCTAAAGGTACATGCTGACATATTTTATCCCATTTAGGGATAATTTCATAGAAATTAATATAGGACTGAGTATGTAAAATTCTCAAATTGTTCAATGCTAGAGTTTAAATGCTCCTCTAAAGGCTTAGAAGAATATACTTCAATTTGTTAGGGATTTTGCTTACAGAAAGCACTAAATGTTTAGAATTCAGTGAGAACTGAGAAGGATTTTGAGGATATAAACATTCATTTTTAAGGGATCTCTGTAGATGACAGCACAAATCTTCCACAGTTCAAGTCAAATAAAGCAAACTTGCAGTAAAGATACTTGAGTCAGTTAATGCTCATCAGGCAGCTTTGACAACAAAAGACCAGACAAGCTTTACGATATTGACCATCTCAATGACATGACTGAAATTTGAGTTCTAAGCCAGACAGGGGAGATTTCAAAATACTACATGAATTAATGTTATCTTTAAAGACTACCTGACTGAACTGGTAGTACTATACCGTAATCATTATGTCTTTGTGAAAATGCTCTGCATTGTGAAACACACTGAGCTTTGCTAAGAGACAGGAAATAGCAGCCAGTGAAGACTGCAATGATCTGGATGAAATTTAGGGAGCTGAAGGCTAAAATGAAATGGACTCCCTAAGAAATCAGCTAAAGTGTGCCTTCATAAAAACATCACTATTCTTTAATACCACATGGTATAAACACTTGGCTTTTCTGTCTTTATATATCCAGAAGGATACAAAGACCTGCTTGAGGAACTAGATCCTAAGTTTAAGTTGGGTTTAAGCTGCCCAAAAGGGTTGTGAAATTTCCATCCTCAGAGATACTTAGAATATATCGGGACATGGTCCTGCACAACTGGCTCTAGGTGACCATGCTTGACAAGAGGCTTGGACAAGATGATCTTCAGTAGCCCCTTCCAACCTCCACCATTCTGTGATTCTGTATTTCCAGGAAAAAAATTGACCGATTCCTAGCTTCCCACAGTGAAATTAAAGGCAAAAGGATCCTAATTGCCATGACCACACTTCTTAACCTTATACCATATACATTCAGTTTTCCCCAAAACTATCATTCTGTTACCCAGAAGAAATCAATCTACACTAATTCCACTTGCATTTATAAACGTTATTCCTAATAATCAC